TATTTTGGTCATGTTGTAAGAAGGGACCATTCCCTGGAGAAGGATGTCATGCTTGGTAGGGTGGAGGGTCAATGAAAGAGGGGGAGACCTTCAATGAGATGGATTGACACGGTGGCTGCGATGATGGGCTCAAGTATAGCAGGGATTGTGTGGCAGTGTTTTGTTCTGCTGTGCATGGGGTTGCTATGAGTCAGAAATGACTCGACGGCACTTAACAACAACAACAACAATAGTATAGCCAGTCAATGAGGTTACCTGAGATGTAATATTGCTGAAAAAGTGATTAGACCTCACTTGGATCCAAAGTAGGGGGGGAGAAAAAGAATCCAATGAAGATTTTAAAATATCATTGCTTAAGTCAGTAATTAACTACTGAGAGTGAAAAAAAAAAAATCTAAAAAATGGAAAATTGTTTCACATTCAGAAAATATAAACTTAACATTTGAAACTTTTTTTATGAAGCTGCTAAATCTGCAAGTATGTATAGAAAAATCTTTGTGATGTACCATCAAAGCTGAGTTGAGAGGGACACCTCTTAATTTACCAGAGCAAGAAGTTTGTGGTGGTTTAGAAGAGTGAATGTTTCATAGAGAAAATAGTAGTTAAAATTGACAATATAGAATATTGGTCAATTATTATAATGAAATATGCAAAGATCTGGAGTTAGAAAAAAATAATGGAAGAACACGCTCAGGATTTCCCAAGCTGAAAGAACTGAAGAAAAAATTCAAGCCTCAAATTACAATATTAAAAGATTATATGGACAAAATATTGAATGATGCAGGAATCATCAAAAGAAGATGAAAGGAATATTCAGAGTCACTATACTAAAAAGAATTGGTCGATGTTCATTCATTTCAGGAAGTGGCATATGATTAAGAACCAATGGTATTGAAGGAGAAGTTGAAGCAGCACTGAAGGAAATGGTGAAGAACAAGGCTCCAGGAATTGACAGAATACCCATGGAGATGTTTCAACAAATGGATGTCCTGCTGGGGGCACTCACTAATCTATTTCAAGAGATTTGAAAGACAGCTACTTGGCCAACTGAAAATATCAGCAATTCCATTACCAGGAATATATCCTAAAGAGGTGAGAGAGAATGCATGGACAGACATATGTACACCCATATTCATTGCAGCACAATTCACTACAGCAAAAGAGAAGAAAACAACCTAAATGTCCATCAACGGATAAGTGGATAACCAAATTATGGTACATGCACACAATAGAATACTATGCTACATTAAAGAACAATGAAGGTTGTGGGAATCACCTCACAATGTGGATGAACCTGGAGGACATTATGCTGAGTGAAATAAGTCAATCACAGAAAGATAAGTACTGTATGAACCCATTACTCTAAAAAGACAAAGAAGGGTTTGCTTGGGACATGGAACTCACTTTGTAGGTTACTGGGAATGGGAGGGAAGTGGAGGATTAATTTTGGGCTAGTTGGTGCCAACACACTGACGTGGGTGTTGTTGTTGTTAAGTGCCATCGAGTCGCTTCCAACTCGTAGCAACCCCATGCACAGCAGAACGAATCACTGCCCAATCCCACGCCAGCTCCATGATCTTTGCTATACTTGAGCCCATTGGAGCAGCTGCCATGTCAACCCATCCTGTCAAAGGCCTTCTCCTCTTTCGTCGACCCTCCACCTTACCAAGCATGACATCCTTCTCCAGGGAATGGTCTCCTCTGACAACATGACCAAAGTAGGTGAGATGAAGTCTG